CCAAAACTACCCTGCCAAGCCTATGCTCCTTAACACTTTAATCTGTATACCCATGCATCATTCCAGATGCACCATATATTCTTTGTGCGGGGCTATAAAATAATTTCTTTGTTCAGCTGTAGAAGTTTTCACAACTCATCTCTATTTTTTTTTTCTGCCTATCTTTTGTGAAGAGAGCTTTTCAAAAGGGTTCAGTGTTGGTTTAACAGTGTCTGTTCCTGTGACAGTCAACAATAAAGATCCCATTAGCTTTAATTGGACCACAGCTAGATAAATGCTGAAATCTGGTCATTAGTAGGGTTTATTGGAGAAAAACGTTTTCCTCAAAGAAAACATATATTTGCAATTTAATGTCAGCACAGCATATTGCACAGATTACTGCACAGTTTGCTTAAAAGGGAGCAGACAAGCTGATTTCAGGTTGCTCGCACTGATCTATTTACCTTGGTTACAAAGCAAGCTGGTGACTTTTAATGATGTTTATGTACAGCTCATAATTGCTGTTCCTTTTCTCTGTGAGCTTTGGGCTAAATTACAGGTTTCTTTTACGAAAATAATGAATGAGACTGTTGTTGCTTCCATAATCTAAAGAGGTGAATTCAGAGGAAGAAATAGACTGAGAAAACTATCGGAGCGACTTGTAAGACAGAATGTGAAAACCATGTAATGCTCTGGAAACTTTCTTGCTGTAGTTGGAAAGACATTTTATAAAATTAACTCCTCCTGCCCTTTTCTTGACTGCATTAACCGTCTTAAATATGTGATGTGGTGTTTGCTGTGGCAGCCCAAGTACCGCTGTGTGTGCGACGCTGGCTGGATGTCCCCTCCCGGCAGCCCCGCCTGCAGCACTGACATAGATGAATGCAGCCTCCCCAGCCCCCCCTGCTCACAGAACCCACCGGTGCAGTGCTACAACACAGCAGGCTCCTACTCGTGTGGTCTCTGCCCCGCAGGTATCATGTCCTTCCACGCTTTCAGGTGGGAGGGGGTGGCAGCAGGTAGTGCTGCCTGTATGTCATAAGCACAGAGACGGGATCCAGATGAGAGTAACACTATGAAATGCTTTGTTGTGTATTCTTGAGAATAAATGCCTGCAGGTTGTCTTATCTAGGTAATGCAGCCAGGGGGGTCTAACACATGATTTACCCCATCCTGAACTGAGCATCTAAATGGATCTGATGTACCCTCATGTCCATACATACCTCCATGTCCATTATGTCCTATTATCTTTGTGTATTAGGTCTGAGGTACTTTCATATCTTTATGCCCACTGCCCTAAGGGAATATTAAAATTTAATTATCTCCTCAGGCCATATAACCTATGATTCCTCCTCCTGAGGTGGGTAGGTGGTGTGTGTGGGAGTAGTACTTGAAGCATTTAACCAGAGTTATGATAAAGCTTTGCTGAAAATTGTACGTGTGTGCACGAAAACAGAACTGCTTCCTTCTTAGGTTAAAGGGTGTTTGATTCTGGAATATCCAGAATACAGCTAAAATAAAATGTTCTTGCACACACATCTCCACCCTGTTGTGTTTGTAATCTGTTGTGCAGACTAGTTCATTCATCAGTTACGAGAGGGATAGGTCTTCTCTTGTGTTAATGAAGTGAAATTCAAAAGTCGTGTTTTTATGCCCTCTGAAAAGATCTGGTCAAAGAAGAAAAAGAAAAGGACATTGTGTATTTTAATGTCTTTCCTGTTCTTCTTTCTAGGTTGGCAAGGCAATGGATACAGTTGTCAAGACATTGATGAATGTGAAAGTAATAATGGAGGCTGCTCAACAGCACCGATGGTTCAATGTATCAACACAATGGGATCCTTCCACTGTGGGCTCTGTCCACCAGGTAAAATGGAATTTTTTTGTTAATAAAACTGTGGAAAGGCTTAAAAGATGAAGATTTAAGATGTTTGGGCCTGTTTTATGGTAGACTTAAGAAGCTAAAGATTGATTTTGTATAAAGAAGTATCACATACACAAAGCAATACTTTAATATAGAACGCAAAGTCCAAGTATATTCAAACTGCTTCAGCTATTAATTAACATTTTGTAGACTATGTCTATAATGCTGCTTCTCTGAAATGTGTTTCTTCTATACTAGGTAGCCCTTTTCAGTGTTAGAGCCAGGGTTTGATGAAGTACTTCATAAGATCTTTGATGGGAAACAAGGATTGTGTAATTATGATAGTGATTTCATTGTCTGCATTAATTGAAAGAGCATCTTGTGTGGAGTAAATCCATTGTATTGTCTGTCTTAAAAGCCTTGATAATTGTCACGCTCTGAATGCTGTCTAAGCAGGCAGTGTTTCCATTGCAGTACAGGTCAAGCAGTAAAAGTCATGACTTGTGTTTTTATAATTTGTGGTTTATGATTTCAAATACTTTATGAAATGCAAGCTATCAATACAAGAAATCCTAACAGGAAAAAGTTTTTCTAACTGACCTTTCAATTGCTATTTAAATGGCAATAGACAACAGGCAGTGAAGTCTCTCAGTTGCTGAGCACTGAAGGGCTATCACCGTGCTGGAAACATGGCCCCAGAAGTTTTGATGTGGTGCAGTGGGCCTCACCTCTGGCCATGCAGAGTGTGCTGCAGCACTTTGGTCCTGATGAGCCTTCTGAGGGGAGCTGGATGTGTGTTTGACACCCCAGGGTGGCTCTGACTTGCAGTGGGAAGCCTGGAAGTGTCTGGTGCCAGCTGGGTGCAGATGCATAAGGAGAGCAGCACATAGTGGCTGAGAGAATTAAGCCTCACTGACCTCACTAGATTTCGCTAGCACTAATTTAACTTTTTTCCTAAAATCATGGGAGGATTTAGTTACAATCAGAATCTGTCCCTACAGTGTAGGAACCACAATAATAATCCCAGCTTTTACTTCAGAGGCTATATCAACTTTTTATTTTTAACTACAGAAGACTGTGATTTTACACTGTAAATTAATAATTTTCTCACCAGATGATTGTTCTCGGAGAATGCAGTTTATTACATTCTAACTGAGGTTTGCCTCTGAACAGGTTATGAGGGAGATGGACAAACATGTACCCAGGTTGATATCTGCTCAATAAATAATGGAGGGTGCCATCCTTCGGCTACTTGTACCTCAGCTCCAGGTATGATGCTCTCTTAAGGACTCTAAGTCATGCCAGTGTGAATCTCAAGGAGGATTTTGTTAGGCTGAATCCACTTTGTAGCAACACATTTAGATTGCATCCTCTTCTCCATAGTCAGTTTTGCCTCACCCAAAGGAGTTCACAGGCATGGTAGCTAAAGCCAGGAGGTCATTGCACAAACACTGACAGAAATAGATTTCAGCTCCACCAAAGGGGAGATTTCATCATAAAAACATGGAAATCTTCACCGTTTCACTTTGATGCACTTTTCCAGTTTCAGCTTGTAATGGTTTGAAAACAAACCAGTGAGAGACTCCAAGTCAGAAATACAATTTAATAAGAAAAAAAAAAAAAGCAATAATACAAAGGAAAACCACAGCCAGAGTCAGAATACAACCTGATACTCTGTAGTTAGGGTGGTGGTAGCAGTCCAGATGAAACAGTGGTCTTGTAGAAAAGATCTGGTAGCTCTTGTCCTCTGGAAATCCAGTGGGTAAGGCCCCCTGTGCTGTCCTGAACCCCAGTTTATATCCAGGTGGGAGCACTTGGCGCCTCCCCCTGGGTGGAGCATCTCACAATGGGTTGATATCAGTCTATGAGTCATGCAGTGGGTCCTTGATGGTCCATTAAACAGAAATAGCTCCTGGGGGGACTCTGTATGAGTCATGGGGTGAGGCATGGATGGGCCCATTAACAGGGAGGACTCCTCCTGCTGGGTGGGAAAGGTGTTAACATCTCCCCTGACCTTGAACTTCTTTCCTTATCTGTTATAGCCTGGGGTGTGAGGTCTGTCCTGGGCAGCTGCTACCCATGATTTTCTTAACAGCCCATGAGCACTGACACAGAGAGTATAGAATATACAGTTTTGGTTCTACCCACATAAGGATAAACTGGTCCCAGCCCCTGTAACCATGAGACAGCTACTGCTACTATTTTTCTCCTTTCCATAAATACCCTTTGATTACTCCCACCACTTCCCACAAAGGTGACCTTGGACTCTGAGGCACCCATAGGAAAGCAACACTAGGGGCCTTTCCATGGTCAAACAGGACACTGACCAGGGAAGGTGTCAAAAGATCAAATAATTCAGAACTATGTAAAGGCTCTGCTTCAAAATGTCTAGGACCTTTACTGCCACTTGTATTGTCATTGCAACAAGGACTGAATTACTTTCTGTGTCTTGTCTCATCTCCCCAGGGCTAATGCCATTTTGTTCCTGCATGTCTGGGTACACTGGAAGTGGATATGGGCCAAATGGGTGCTCTCCTCTCAGTGATGTTTGTCAGCTGCAAAACCCCTGTGCACATGGGCAGTGCTTGGTGAGTGCCGGGCTCCTCCCAGTTAGGGACTGCGTTACGTAGCTGCAACCAGTAACAGCAGGGAGGCTGGTGGGACACAGAGTTGGGTGCAGACCTACTAAGGGTAATGAGGCAAGGTCAGCAAGGCGTGGGAGATCAGTGGGTACAACTAGGGGAAACAAAGTGCCTCTCATGGCACACAAGACATTTCTTTCTGTTCGAAGCAGAGGTGGCAATCTTGTCACTAAACCTGAGAGGTTGCAGCTGGTACCACAGGCTAGCAATGGAATGCTGGTGCTGGTGAGGGAGAACTGATGAATGGCTGGCCCTGGTAGGACAGGACAGTGGTTTACCACCTTGAATCAGGGAGGAATTGCCCATAATGACAAAACCAGTGGCTCTGCTGACCTTCAGACTGCTAAAATCCAGTACAGTTAATCATGTTTCTAGGCTGACCTTGTGAGAGCCCAGTCTCAGGCTGTTCATATGGAAGGGATGCTTCATGGGAATTTGTTGTAGTCCTGCTGGTAGCTAACCGGTTTGGACCTTTATTGATTGGTGGTATGAATTCGTTTTTCTTGTACAGGGATCACTTAATTTGTCCAAATGGACCTGCTGAAGGCCTTTTGGCTTCCTCAGTGAGGTGTGCTGTGCTCAGGAAAATCCACACTGCAGACATGAGGATTTTGATGATTCTGTTGTGGAGGATATTTATGATGATGATTTTTGAAAAACGTTGACAAATGGTGAATTTGTTGTTCAAGTAGAGTCTGACCCCATTTGTCCATATTGGTTTGTGGGTATCCTGCTTTTGATGGGCCTGGGAGGCAGAGGGGAAAAGGGACATATGAAATGGACTTGGTAGTGTTAGGTTAACTGTTGGATTCAATGAGCTTGAGGGTCTTTTCCAACCTAAATATTTCTACAATTCTATCATATGTTGCCTTTCCCTTTTCCCCTTTTCTGTGTGAAAGATGTTCCCCTCACCTCTACTCCTTCCCTTACCAGGGATCCTCAATCTCTTTTCTGTAGGTATCTATTGTCTTTTCACTTAGATACTTAAAGGGCCTTTTGTGCCCAGATATCACCTACGTTTTCTGACTATTTAGAAACTATTTATTTTAGTTAGTCCATTGAGAGATCTGATGTCTTCCCCTAAATATATCCTAACATGCAACTGTAGGCAATCATGGCTACAAATTACTGCATAAAGATAATAACATAGTCAGATACTTCAGTGATGGGACTACAGAAGCAGCTAATAAAATAGAGGAACAGCAGAACTGTATTTGGCCAGTGTAATGACAGATGAAATGTAACGTTAATTAAATATCAGGCAATGCAGATCAGAAAACGTCTTTTTTTTTTTGCATTCAAAAGCAACATTCAGAGCCCTAATTGCACATCAAAGTCCTCTTCCATCATACTGACAAGTCTCTATTCCGGACACAGAGGACATAAACAGAGAATGCAAAAGGAAATAAAAAATATAGCACATTGATTGTATGTCATCAAAGATGGGATTGTTAGCATGTACCTTGGAATACCACGTTCTGCCTTACCTGTAAAAATCATGTCTACAAAGCAAGATCTAAAAGGAAAGAGGACATATGAAATTAAAACAGAGGTATGGAAAGACTTGATTATAAGGAGCAGTAGTGAAGTTTGAGACAAAAGAAATGGAAAAGAGCTATACAGAAAAAGGAACAGTGAATGCAGTGAAGGCAATGAAATTGTTTCCGTTTAACATCCCTCAGGATGAAAATAAAAGTTAACAGTCCACCTAGCTGCAGTGCAGACTGCCCAAAGAACAGGCTTGAGAGGAAGGATTTATAAACCACTGTTATCTTCACATGCTATTTATATGGGTTAGATAATATGATTGACTTTTTTCTAGGGTGGCCGTTTCAAAGCCAAGCAAACAGTTTTCTGATCAGCTAAATGAATACAGATTTTGTCTTTTTAGAAAGTAATTTGAAGGAGCCCTGAAAATATATAACTTAATAGAAAAAGCAGAGAGCTAGATGATCTGGGTAGGCTTTGGGTTTATTTTGGTATTCACCAGTGCCCATCAAGGCCATTAAATTCCAAAGGTTTTATTGCTTTACCCTGATATCTTCACATAAAATAAACGTAAATATCACTTTCTGCCAACTACATTGATTCCCTTAGGTGATCTATGCGTTTTTATTGTGTTTGCTTATACCTGTAGGCAACGACCTCTGGATATTTCTGCCTGTGTAACGCAGGCTGGACAGGCCCTAACTGTACAGAGAACATTGATGAATGCGTTAGCAACCCCTGCCAGAATGGGGGGACCTGCACGGACGGGGTCAACGGCTACTCCTGCGAGTGCACCAGTGCCTGGACAGGACCACAGTGCCAGACTGCCCAGCAAGGTAAGGTCAGGACCTCCTCCCTGGGAGAAATGGGCCACCAGGCTTCAGCAAGTAGATGCTTGGCGTATATGATTAATATGTGAATAAGAATCAAATTATGATGGAAAAAACCCAGCACTCTTCCTGATGCATTACAGGTCCAAATCCAAAGTCCCTTGAAGTCAGAGTTTTCCATGAGTTTTGTTTATAGCTGCTTTGTTTAGCAGTAGGAGCATAACAATGAAGTTGATCTGCAGGCCCTCTGGCCTTGACTAGACACTGGACAGCCTGAAATCAGATGTCAGTTACTGAGAAAGTGGTCTGGAGCTGGCTGGGAAAGAGGATCCAATATAAGTAGAACAGATTTACAAGGGAATATATTAATATTTCTCTTTTGTGCATACTGTTTCATTTGTTGTGAATCTGAGAGGCCCTGACATTTTAAGTCAAGATGAAAAGCCAGAAAAAGTTTTCAAAAATGAATTAATTGAAAGAAAAGTTATCCATGAAAATGGGGGACTCTGAGTTTTATAGAGTGACTGCAAGCCTTTAACATTTCTCCTTAATATCACTTTCTGTTTGTTTGGGATTTTTTTTCCCCTTAACTTTAATTAAACAAGATCAGGACAGCATCCCAGTGAGTGTCTCTGTGGCAACCATCTGTCAGATGACTCATATTTATTGCAGGTTGCTGTGAAGAAAGCAGATTAACTTTTCACAGAATACAGAATGTAAAACTTTCACTGAGCCCCTGTGAAATCTGCTCTATCTTAGAGCTACTTAAGGCTCTTTCCTATTTTACTTAAATATCTAACCAGTAATGTTTTATTATTAAGCACATGTAGAAAAAAAAAAATACTTTTAACCATTCATAGTAGATGGGATAGAAAAATAGTTTTATCCAGTGTGAAATAATAATGTATCAACTTCTTGTTTAGTTCCTAATCAAGGGAAAAATAACACATTTTATGACATGTTGATTCTAGATCTGATCGAGAAATGGTGAGATGTTTTGGACACTTCAAACAAAATTACATTCTGTTTGCCACTCCTTGAAACAAAATACTTAATTTCAGTTTGCTGAGAACTGAATATTTCTTCGGCATCAGTTCAGTGTTAAAACTACAGCTGCTTGTTGTAGACTGTAGCTATATGCACACTGTATTTTGGATGCCTTATGGATATATTTTTCTGTACCTGTTTGGGATTCCAGCTGAAAACCTTTGTTCTTTTCCCAGGAACTACTTTTCTCTCAGGGAGTAGTTTTCCTCATTTTTTTGTGATGTCTTTCTGCTTTAAAGGAAAACCTCAAGAGCTTTTTACAGAAGTACCATTCACACTTGTTTTAAATGGTTACACAGCCAAAGCTATGCAAGAAAGTTAGGTTTTAAGTCTGTACAGTGATAGCACAAATTAATCCATTTAATTCTCTCTCTCTTTCTGCAGTTTGTGGAGGATATCTCTCAGGCTTGAAGGGGTCTTTCAGTTACCCTAACAGCCCAAACAGCCAGCAGTACAACAGCGGCGTTAGCTGTGCTTGGCTTATTCAGACTAATCCAAACAAGGTAAAATAGAGTCCAGGTTAAAGTAAATCCTCACTCTGCAGAACCTTCAGCTTATCAGAGCAAACATGACCATCTTCGTGCCACATATTCCAGTACCGTGATCCAATCCCCTCAGAATAAATAGTTTTTCAAAAAGAAAAAGTTTCAGATCCTTACAAGCCTTCAGGCTCCTTAGCCTAAGAATTTGCCTGGGTTACATTTTCAAGGTTTTTCCTACCCAGCTGAGGGCTGGAATTTGTTGTCCTATGACCAGCTATAGAAGGTGTCTGTTTTACATTGCTTTAGAATATGATCTGTGAACAGCTGCTTGAGAAAGCTCTGCTCTGTTGGGCTCAACAGTTGGTTCATGAACTAAGCGAACCCAGAATAATTTCATGTTTCTGATTTATGAGTGCCAGAAATGTGGAATGCTGAATTCGTATTGTCAATGGCTTTGTGTAATAAGAACGTTAGAATTTTTTAAGGATTAATTTTTAAATGTTGCACTCAAGTGTATATTCTGATTTTTATCTGAAGCTAACAGCTCCCCTTGTGTTATACTTCTGACTTGATCCGGTTTTGACATTTCATGACATGAATTAAGTAGTTTGATAAACCAGTGGTTGTTGGTAGTTTCTTCAGCATTATACAAATGTATGTGACGTATCCTCAGCTTTAAGTCTGAGTACCACTGCTGTCTTCAGCAGAGCTATGTTCAAGCACCTCAGTGAGGAATCTGAACTTACATAAAACTTTGTATATCACTAAGTATCTAGAGTGGGCTTATGAGACACTGATTTTATATGTGCAAAACCAGATCATGTAACTTTTTCTCTAACTCCCACTTTCAACCATAGGAAAGATGAGAAGCATTAATCATCTGATGAGAAAGCTGCCATGGGACACCTGGAATAAAGTATTCTATGCTGTATATCAATCTTTTCATATGGCTTGAAATATATATGCATATATATTTCACATACATGACAAATGCAGGCAAACAGTCTCAATTATTCCTTTATAAAAATAATGCTCTTTCCAGAAAGCTTCCCTGTCCAAAATCTTTCCTATCTGTCTTCTCTCTTTTCTTTTGACTCTTAACATTCTCTAATATCTTCTGTCCTGGAACTTCTCAGGAAATGGCATAACGGCTCCAAAAGCTTGTAGATACTCCCAGTTGCATGAACAAATACATCTGTTCTATGCAGAGTTACTGCATAAACAGTGTCTCAGCAGATGGAAATAAAACAGATCTCTTATTTTGCTGCTTCCTGTTAGATCCTGCGTATTACTTTCCCATTCTTCCAACTGGAGACAAGTAATGACTGTAACTCCGACTTCCTTCAAATACATGACGGGCCTTCAGCGTCAATGCATATGCTGGGAAAATACTGTGGCTCCTCACCTCCTGCAGAGCTTTTAAGCTCCCACAACTCCCTGTATTTTTGGTTCTACTCAGACCACACCCTTACAACGGAAAGCTTTACTGTTCAGTGGGAATCTCGTGATCCTGGTAAGTTTGATGAGAGGTCATGTTATTTAGCAGCTTCATGGCTTTGGAGCAAAATGAATGACATTTCCTCTGATTAAGAGATATTAGGAGCAGGAAATATTTGAAGTTCTGCTTTTATAATTAAATTGCAGAATTAAATGAAAAATTTAAAGAAAGAAGTAACTTGGTTTGTTTGGCTTGCTCTTTGTTTCTTAACTTATTCTGGTTCCCAAGGTGGTACCTAGTTTTGACACTGTAGGAGAAGTCATCTTCTGACCTGTCATGTATTGTTAAAGACTGTGTTCTTCCATGTTTTCTTTTCATGTTAGAATGTGGTGGTGAGCTGACAGATCCTTATGGCTCAATAAGCTCTCCGGGATACCCTGGTAATTATCCTGTAAATAGAGACTGTTTCTGGACCATCTCAACCAGTCCTGGCCTCCTCATCACATTTGCTTTTGGCACACTAAGCCTGGAACACCATGAAAATTGCAGTTACGACCATTTAGAGGTAAAGTATAATTGTGGATTATGACAGCATTTTATGGCTATGTTATTGCAAAACGGGGTATTTCAAAACTTTTTGTACATACAGAAGGGAACTGTTTGAAAATTAAATCCTGAGTTGAAATGATCAGGTGTAATTAATTATTCCAGCCATCCATACACACTCAGATACAAGCAGTATAACAGAAAGAGGATGATATTCCACTCCACTGAAGTCAGTGGAAGTCTTGAGACTAAAGAGGATAGGATTCAGGCCAAATACTTGGTGTGAGGCTTTCACTTTCTTACAAAGTTCAACCTCCAAAACCTTTGTTGAATGTCAACCCACAGACAATTAACCAGCCTAAGAAAAACTATTAGGGAAAGGGATATATAATTAATAGATTTATATTATATAGTAGAGCCTATGACTTGTTGTGTGAGCCTAGGGTTTTTTCTCAAGTAATGGTTATAGAATTCACCAATATCCAGTTCTGGAAATGTGAAGGTGGTTTGGAATAGCGTGTTCTTCAAAACTGTGCAATGTAGAAAATGATTTCTGGAAAACAGTTCAACAGTACCTCTGATGCTTTCTTTCTCTTTCACAAAACCTTTGATGGCTCTCCTAGGAGCACTATCACTGCTATGCTGATGGGTCTCTTTCTTGGTTCCTGTGTGTTTGGAGGAAGTTACCTATGAGCTTTCCCTCCACCCACCATCTAAAACATCTCCTGGGGCCTCCAAGATAACTTTTTAAAAGTGTTGGTGCTGTTCACAGTTGGCACACATCTAATAATCATAAATGCTGATCTATCATTCTTGTCTAGATTCGAGATGGTCTTTTTCCACAAGACCCCATCCTTCGTAAATACTGTAGCACTAGATCTCCACCCCCACTCCAAACCACTGGTCCATATGCATGGATTCACTTTCACTCTGATGAGTTAGTTACTGATAAAGGCTTCCGCATCCTCTATACAACATCTCCTGGTAAGTGAACTTCAGCATTTAAGGTTGGGCTGTTACATCCCTCAGTTATAGTTGATAGTGTATGAATAAATGTAATGAGCACTTGTTATTTAATAATACAGAAAGCCTCTTTGGCTTGCAGCCATTGTACAGAGGCAGCCTAAACTGGAAGAGTTACCATACTTGTGAGTGTCTCAACTAATATATAATTTTTTTCTTAATATAGCAGATCCCAGTTGTGGAGGAAATTACACGGATAACGAAGGAGTTATCACATCCCCTTTCTGGCCTAGCCCTTATATCAAGAACCAACAATGTATCTACATTATCAGACAGCCAGAGGATGAAAAAATATACCTCAACTTTACCCACATGGAACTGGAGAATCATACTGATTGTTCACTGAATTATATTGAGGTGACTTCTCTTAAGCAGTTAAGATGAAAGGTTGATTCCACGTGTGTACAACCTTTTGTATGCTGCATAATTTCTGTCCCAAGGGCCACTACAGAAATGGGTATTAATCAAAGGACTAAGCATACCTCTTTACTAAGGTCCAAAAGTCACAGGGGCTAAAAGAGCATAACTGTATATTTGAAATGAAGCAAAGATAAGATAACAAGAAAGTCTCTCTACCTTAATACCAATTCTTAATTGGCTGTACATGATTAAGGTGGAGTTTGGACCTTTGGTAAATGCATACCAAATATAACAAAAATAGAAATAAAAATAATGCTGCAGTCACTATTCAGCATTTTCTGGAGTTGTGGTGTTATACTGAAAATCTTGTTCTGGGGCAAAAAGTAAACATACCATATATATTTATATATACATACATATGTACATATGGAAAGACAAGAGCTTATTGTTAGTATAACTTAAATTTAGAAGTCTAATTCAATAATTGTTACTAGTCTAATTATTACAGAAAAACAATAGGACAGTTATAATGATTCTATATGGGAATATAATACAGTAATAATGTTGATGTTATCTAAGATCTACTTGCAGTTATTTTTATGTTTGCTCAAGTGCTTTTACACCTAGCTCTTTCTTCATTGGTCTGCAGCTTCATGTTACATCCAGATTTACTACTATACAGAGCTTTTTAAATATGCTAGGTACCATTTCTTCATTTCTTTGTTATCCCTAAACCAAATTTTGTCCATCTCCAGGTCTGCATTTCTTCAGCTGAGCACAGATGAGGTTTGGCATGGTGCTGTGGAGGCCATGGAGGCTCCCCAGAGGGGCCAAGCCAGGCCTCGCAGTCAGGGCCAGTCCCACTGTCCTGGCCAGGATTCAAGACAGCCCCAGGGATCAGGCGCCTCTGTGGGGAGGTTGCCAGGGGATGTTTAGATTGGATATTAGGAAGAATTTCTTTACTGAAAGAGTGGCGAGGCATTGGAACAGGCTGCCTTAGGAAGTGGTGGAGTCACCATCCTTGGAGGTGTTAAAAAAACATGTGGACGTGGCACTTTACAACAGTTTAGTGGTCATGGTAGTGTTGGGTTGATGACTGGACCTGATGATCTTAGAGGTCTTTTCCAATCTTAATGATTGCACGATGAGCCAAGGGCAGGCTGGGATGTGGGCCTACAGGTGGGCCTGGCTCTGCCGAACCCATGGCTGGGCAGAGCAGAGCTGTGGTGAGCTAGAGACCAGCCCTGCAGTGTCACTGGGGCAGGGACTGATGTGCCTGGGGGCTGGCGCAGAGTCTGTGGGCATGTTGTGAGAGTCCCAGAGGAATCCAGTGAATCCTGGTGCTACCCACAGGGCCTGATGAGCTCTTTATGGCAGTGGCCCCTTGCCCCTTCTCCTGTTATTCTGTCCCTGTCCTGCCCTGCACCACGCTCTGACTCACCATGTCGCAAGGTGTCCGCTGTTGTACCTGGCCTGTCTTTCTCATACAGTGATAAGTGCCTCCCCCTGCATGGAGCAGCTGCTGGTTGTAAAAGCACGTGCTTGTACCATGCAGGGGTGACCAGAAGTAAAACAAAGGTAGCACAGACAGGCAGCTGATCAGTGGCGGTGCCACCACAAAAAAGTCAGGTCGAGCTCTGCAGCCCCAGTGCAGAGCTGGGTCCTGCGCTGCCACCAACACAGTTACGTGGCAGCGGGGTTTGGTTTTGTGCTTAATCTCTTCTTGACCAAATGAGGAATAGGCCCCGTGAACTCCATTCACTTAATCTGTTTTTAAAAGATGTTATTGTGCTGACTTCGTTCCCCTCCCTCCTCCTCTAATCAGAGACTTTGGTTGGAATGAAGTGTAATTAATTTCTGAAATGAGAGGGGAAGTGTGTTTAATGAAAACAGACAGCTTTTGTTTGTTTGGCCTCGTACTCCTCTTGCCTAATTGCTGGCAGAACAGCAGCTAAATTCAAAGCAGTCAGAGAAACAAAACCATTTCTGTTGAATGCAATCAGTTTGTATTAGTTCAGCAAGGCACTTCCCTCGCTGTTTGCTGATCAGTCACAAGCCATCCGGGTTCCCTGTGTTTCTGTCATACTCTTCTTCCTACCTTCTCACTCAATGACTTGGCCCAGAGCAGAGAAACAGGACCAACATTTTCTGACTGGGACAGTCGATATGAGTAGACCACTGTGCTCTTTTATAAAGGCCTGATTTTCCATATATGCTTTCCTAAAATACTGTCTCACTGGGGTTTATAATGAAATTCAGCCAGGGAACTAGCTTTTGTGTGTTTTAAGTTGCTTTAAAAGTCACTCTCTGACAACTGTTTTGTCACTTTGAAAGGGTGCAGATTGTTTCCATCCCTGGTGATACCAGGAAACTTGCAGAGTTTCCCCAGGGGCCAGACACAGCTCACAGGCACCTGCTCAGGGAGGGATGTTTCGTTTTTTATTGAGAAAGGAACAGCCCGGGACAAGGGATCTGCTGTATGAAGCTAGAGACAATAAAACGTATTTAAGAAAGACTATTTCATGGTGCTGCAGAGGTAAGGTATTAGCCAAGGCTGCTCCTTCTTGCCATCCTTCTAACTGGCAACATGATTCACATAGTTTAGGGAACATGTTGTTTTTGTCACTATTCACTGGCTTTATAAACAAAAAAATGTAAGGAGAATCGGCTCAAGAAAAAATATAAACTCTAGTGAACTATACTCCTGGAAACTTTCACAGCTGTCCAAAGATTTTCTGAATATTCTGGCACAAATTCTGATTTCAGTTGCTCTGCTGTAAATCCAGAACAATTCTGTCACCTTAAACTCAAGTCCTAGGGAAATAAAAAATATCCATTAGTCAGAAAGCCACCTCACCAGCAGGAGATTGACAAAGCTGTGGGAGCAGGCCAGCCACTGACTGCCCACCAGGACACTGATGAGGGTTCTCTGCCTTCTCTCCCAGCCCATGGAGGAACACAGCTGAGGAGGAAAGAGGTGATGTGAGGGGATCTGAAAGCTGGATGTTCCTGGCTTTGTCAATGCAACAATTTCTTGCAGTGAATAGCATATAGGTGCATTTAAAGGCAGTTCCAGTTGCAGGAGCCACCACCATTTTTACAGCATGTACAAGCTTTTCTTGATTTCAAGGGAATCTTTGGGAGAAAAATTGAAATTTTTCCCTGGGCAAATAGCAGAGGACCCCTTTTTGGGGCCTTAGCTTGTTGGCTGCACTCTTGGAGTGACATGGGCACCTCAGAGGGTGTTTTCATATCCCCTTGGCTATACCAGTGCTCTGCCTGGTCCCCTGGGTGTACCTGTTCTTACTCATGGACTGTGGGTTCAGGGCCTGAAGTTCAGAGGTGCAAACACCTCTTTTCCTTCTAGTCCCCTTGATAACCAGGATTTATAATCAACTTCTAGGAAAACACATAAGATACATTTCCTCTTTGATTAGCAAATTGATTGAAGTCAGTAGAGTGGCAGTGCAGAAGGTAGAAGCTGGAAGTGATTCCCTGATACACCTTCATAGTCATTATCCTGCACTGGACTCTTCAGATAAAGTAATGGGAAGATCTTAGTATACCTCTTTACTGCTTTAGGGACTCAGAGTTGCATCTCCTGTTAGCTATCTGTCTGGCTGCATTGGCTGAGTGTGACGGGACATGTGTTTGTTATGGAGAATTGCCCTTGAAAAATCACTAGAAATCTCATGGCCAGAGCAAGAAATCAGAAATACCCCCTTTTTTCTCCGTTAGATTTTCGTACTGGCAAAAATTTCATAGCTGTCACTAGTAAGCACCTTACTGGTCTCTTTCACACTAAACTTGTCCCAAATTGTACCAAAGCTGTGGTTTGTAGAGAAGATCTGTTTCATTTGTTTCATCTTAATGTCTTGTGACAATAGCATGTGTGTGTGTCTTCTGTGCTGAACATCCAGTCTTTCCTGTGAGCTCTCATAAGTCATGTACTTGTGCCTACTACAGTGATGGCTCTTTCCCCCTCTTACAAGTAAGAAAAATAGTTACTTTTTTTTTTTGTTATTTAACAGCTCTTGTGAAATTATAATTTTATCTGGATATCAAATCCCAATGCTTTTATAATCTGATGGTTTTCTTTTTTTTTTTCTTTGGATGACTAGGTTCGAGATGGTGACAGTGAGATGTCTTCCCTTATTAGGAAATTCTGTCATAGTACACTCATGTCCCCAGTCACTTCCACCAGCAACAGCCTCTGGATCAAGTTCAAGTCTGATGCTTCTGTGCAAAGGAGTAGCTTCAGGGCTGTTTATCAAGTTGGTAAGAGGAACTGATGACTTGCACAGTGAACTGCTCTGTAATTTGAACTCTTTCAGTCATTTCTGTGCTATATTATCCGTGTAAAAGGTCTAAGACTAACTCCAAAAGAAAGGAAAGAAAAAAAACAGAGTCTATGTGTTTATTTTTACTTTTAGAAATGCAAAGATGATAATCTGCTGCAGGTCTGTTGTAGGCACTCCTAGGATGCCTGGAAATGTACCTCTCATTGCTTCTATTAATAATAAAACACTTACTGCTAACGTACTAAAGATGATACAGCTATAATTTTGCCTAATTTTTTTTTTACTTTGACTTTTCCTATCTTTTAGTTCTTAATCATCAACAAATCTTTCTGTGTCTCTGAAAAAAATTAGTCAAATCCATTAGTTTTCATGGACACAGGTTGGTCTTCCGTATATACATATTTGTGCTATGCTTATAGCAATGTGTTCTTTTAAATAAGTTTTTAATACTACTCAGATGATCTGTAGTAGATGCTGTAAGACAATAGATAAAAAAGGAGTGGCTTTCTTCTAATTTCATACTAATATTTGATAGACATCACATTATACATTCCTTGAAACCATTCATCACAAGTACTGATTCTTGGTTCTCTTGGCAGCCTGTGGAGGCTCCTTGTCTGGAGCAGGCACTATCCACTCACCTTACTATTCCAGGATGTCCTCTCACCCAAAGACCTGTGAGTGGATCATCTCCCAGCCAGCTAGCAAAGTGGTGATTCTTAATTTTATTGACTTTGGCATTCGAAATACAACCACTTGTGACTCAGACTACATTGAGGTAAAGCATAATACACATACACTGTGAATAGTAGATTCTTGTCTGTATGTTCCTTCTCATACTCATCTCCACTAAAGCAGAACTGCTTGACAAGCAAGCACTTCTCCGAGCAGCTATGAAGGCTTTTCCAGGTTCATAATGGGATCCCAAACCTTCTCTTGATTCTTCTAAGGTAACATGACCATTTTGATAAACAGAGATGAGTATCAGGTGCCTTTAAATAGGCAGACCTGGTTTTGGAGGTTAATGTGCCACTTACTGTTGAGGGTGTAAGGTCTTAGCTTTTCTCCATCTGACAGGCTTTGAGTGGGAGAGCGCTTCTATGGAAGTTATGAGGTTGCACTGTGTGTGCCTGTAGTAGAAACAATGTTGTAGAGAGGGTAGGGTTTAACGTACTAAGGATCTCTTTTATATGATTATTGTGAATACATTTGTGCTTAAAACTTTAATATAATAGACATTTATATGGGCTATTTTGAATACACTGTTCTTTAGGTCAGAGATGGCAACAATGAAGACTCCCCTCTTTTGGGCAAATACTGTGGTACAGCTCTACCATCGAGAGTGCAGTCTACACAGAACTATCTCTATATCAAATTCAGAGCTTCCTCTCTTACCAACCTTGGTTTCAGAGCTGAGTACTGGCCATTAGATACAGGTGAGGATCTTTTTGTTATTTTCTGTGATGTCAAGAGTTTCAAAATTTTCCTGTACACAGTTGGCCATCAAGTTTTATGAGGGTGTAATGGGAGAGAAATTCTGAAAGTAACCAATTTTATAAGTACATAGCTTTTAAACAAATCTATCATTTAACATAATGTTTTAAATCTCTACAGCATGTGGGAAGACTCTCACTGGACCAGAAGGAACCATTACAAGTCCTGATCTTCCAGATGCCTACCCACATGGTATTAACTGTACCTGGATTATCAACGTTCAACCCGGCTACCTTATCCGCCTGACGTTCACTTCATTTAACTTGGCATTTGATTATAGCTGCAGAAACGATTATCTTGAAATATATGACAACAGCACTGTGCAAAAATTGGGAAGGTAAATATATCCATTAGCTGACAGACGAATTACTGTAGAGTGAGCCATGTTCTGTAGATCTTCCCATCCAGTTTGCTTCTGCAAATTTTGTGTACAAATTAATTTCTCTGCATTACCGGAACAACAGTAGCAATTTCTCTGCCTAGAACAGTAAAGGCAGCTTTTTTTTTTTTGACCGTGGAAGCAGAAGCACATTTAATAAATATTATAATGGGAGGAACTAGCTTGTGACAAAGGACAGCTTTCTTAAGGACAAATTTCAATAGCTGTCATTGTCTAGCTCCATTAACATTTAGATTTACAGGAAATAAGTTCAAAAGCATTAATATATAAGTTCAAAAGCATTGGTACATCTGTGCTCAGGTAAAGATGTGATTTGAAACATTTGCAGAAGTAAAAAAAAAAAAAAAAGATTACTTAAAAGATTGTGCATTTGGATCTCAGCAAAAACTAACCTCAAATCTGCATTTTATAGTATTTTGTTTTCACTTTCTCCTTATATGTGATTTTGTCTTGAGAAAGAGTCTTTTCTTCCCCTTCTCCAGTTGGGGTATGCATAGGGTTTTCTTGCTGCCCTAGAATTCAAGAATATCCAAAGTACTTGGGATACTCATCTGCAGCTGCAGCTACAGCTACAGTCTGTGAAGTAGTTGGCTGACATGGCAGTATTTTGGAAAATACGGAGCAAATGGCTGTCATAATGGAGAGTGTTTTGCAACCTTTGTCTTCAGGCAGCCACTCTTAGTCCTACCAAAAACCAGAATGTGTTGTGGGTACAGCATAGAATAATTTTGCTAAGAATTTGACAACCTGATGAAGTGTTTCTTCTCTGACTTTGCCACACAAGTTAGATTTGTACCCTTGTGCATGTGGTGTGTGCTATTTAGTCTCATGATACAGGAGATCTTTCTGTATGTGTAGCTGTTCAAACTTCTCAGGAAACCCGAATGCCCTTCCAGTAATACAGATGCTTCCTAAAGTACTGCCATTCAGTTTGGGACACCTTTTTGCTGCAGGTACTGTGGAAGATCAATTCCACCATCTCTCACTAGTGGTGGCAACATGATGATGTTGTACTTCGTGATCGATCACAATATTGCGTCTGAGGGCTTCTCAGCTAATTATATCTCCCTGGATGCATCAAAAGGTAATGTGCCAGTCTGTTCATTATGCAAATTAAATGTTTTCAGCTGTCAGTGCAAATAACCAGTACAAGAAACAGAAGCATCATCTTCTGTGTTGAACAGAAGACTTCCTGGTGCCTCTTCTACCCCCTTTTATTTATCCTGCTTTATTCACAAATGTTTTCCTCCCTGGGAAGGCAGAAGGCGATTTCTGTAAGCAGCCTTTTCTTTACTTTTTCTTACTGACTTTTCTTTAGAAAGTCAGTAAGAGCTGGCATGGCATAACTGCATGAATAATTTAGGAAAAGTATCTTCTGAATTTGCTTTGTCTGTTCTGAGCTGAGTATGTTTGATCTAGGAAGCTTAGCTACCATGGGCAACTTACTTGAATGGGAGACTCTCGGGTGCCATAAAAATCAATTTAGTCCCTAATAAGGTGCAATATAGATGATGAGCAGAGAAAGGTCATATTGGATGAAATTTGCTAAAACAGCAAATAACCTGAATGTGTAAACTGTGGTTTTTTTTTTTCATTATGACAGTGCAACTTTTCTGTCTTCAGAAGACTGCAAGGCTCCTGTTATGCCTTAAATCTGTTCTTTAAATATCTCCTCTTAAGGGGCCCAAGACATACATCAGTGGGGTAGGGTAAAGACTGCTGAAGAGGAGAATGACCATTCATTCCCTTAGTTCTCTAGAGCAGATTAAATCTAAGAAATTACTCCAAATTCTAATTGATTTGAAGGTTTTCTAGGGTGTGGGCTCATCTATGTTTTCAAACTATGCCTAACCCAGTTTACCTGGTCCAGTGTTTGCACGTCGCTCCAGCACTGAGAGTGTTTTAACAGTGACTGATCTGCACTTGAAAATGCAGACTCTTATTGAAAGACTGAAACTACCAGATTTGTAGACCAAACAGACATGGGTATCCTATTGCTTCCCTCAGCTGCTAAATACAGATCTGTAGTAGAAGAGGATTTTTGTGGGTAGAGAGACAAGTTCTACCTAACAGAATTCAACCACAGAAAGGGAAGAATGGGTCAATGGAAAAAAAGTAAAAGTGACAGTACATTAATAGCTGGCTTATTTCTGTGTCCATTGTTAACCAGTTTCTAGGTGTTTTGTGTGTGTGAGTGCAGGATGCAAGGGATTTATGAGATGAATATCAGAAATTCACAGTATGCATATATGTAGCCCTAAACTACCAATGAGTACTCATTGTTTGAATTTAGTTGCTTTAATAATTTTATTTTTCCTACTTTCTGAGTTTCTCCAACCTGTTTAAAATCAGCAAGATTTCCAGTTTCTACCTTGTGAAAAATAACTTGTTTCTTTGTAACATCTTGGAAAATTTAGCTGTTCTTTCCTCTCTTAAGTATGTGTTTGGGCAAGACCTGTACAGATTTTGTCAGTGTGTTTTATTTACTACCAGATAATTTATAAATCCAAATAATCCATTTGCTCAGCTACGTTCATTCACACTTGAGTTATCTGGCATGGAAACCAAAAAGCCAGTAAAACTAATTAAGATTTAATGAGAACTATTCCATGGAGGAAATTTCTGTTTGTTAGAAAATAATAGGTCAAAGCCCAAGATCTACTCTTAAATATCTTTCCAAGAAAAACTCTGTAGTTTGAAAACCAAGTTCTTAATAGTGAGAAATTGTGAAGTTATCAGCCTTATAAGGAAAGTCTTTTATAAGCCTGTTTTTGTAGCTGCAAACTGTAACTTCTGTATATCTAACTGGTGTTTGATAATGGGTATTTTTTTTGTTTTACTTTACCTCACTAATATTTCATGGTTGTATTTGATTCCTTTATGAATGTTCTTAGAGAGGTCTTCTCACAATTTTCAAGATCAAAATGCTCTTTACTCAACATTAATCTATATTTCTGTCTCTGAGTAACCCTATCTGTTTCTCTGGTTTTGTTGGTTTTCTCAATGCTGTGCAGGCTCACTGCTCTTCCATATTCCCCTCCTTTAACCATCACTATGGTGATTGGATTTACTCATCTTTCATCCAGAGCACTACTTTATGCAGTATGTGAGGTTCAAGCTGCATCAATATTCCTGCAGGAAT